AAAGGCAATGAAAGAGGTGAAGATAGTACATGGTACCTGGACACCGGTGCAAGCAACCATATGTGTGGGAGATGAAGCATGTTCGTAGAGCTTGACACATCAACAAGCGACAATGTGTCTTTTGAAAATGAGTCCAAGATAGAGGTGAAAGACAAATGTAACATTCTCATCCGTCAGAAAAATGGGAAGCATCAATTTATTTCTAATGTTTACTTTGTGTCGAATATGAAGAGCAACTTCTTGAGTTTAGGACAACTCTTGGAGAAATGATATGATATTCGCTTGAAAGAAAATACTCTCTTCTTAAAAGAAAATATTGGTAACTTGATTGCTAAGGTGCCAATGTCTAAGAATGTTCTCACTCAACATTCAAAACGATATTCTCAAATATCTGAAGACCTGTTATAAAGATGCTTCTTGGCTCTGATATCTTTGATTTGGTCATCTCAACTTCGGAGGACTCGATTTACTTTCAAAGAAAGATATGGTGAGAGAATTAGCTTGCATCTACCACCCTGATCAATTATGTGAAGGATATTTACTCGGAAAGCACTTTAGAAAATTATTTCCAAGGGAGTCAAGTTCAAGAGCCCAAAAGCCTCTTGAGCTCATACATACAAATGTTTGGGTTTCAATAAAGCCAAGCTCACTCGGTAAGAGCAACTATTTTCTTCTCTTCATAGATGATTTTTCACAAAAAACATGGGTGTATTTATTAAAACAAAAATAAGAGGTTTTTGAAATATTCAAGAAGTTTAAGGCAGATGTAGAAAAAGAAAGTGGTCTTAAGATCAAAACTATGCGATCTGATCGAGGAGAAGAATTCACTTCAAAAGAATTTCAAGAATTTTGTGAAGCCAATGGAATACGTCGACTTCTAACTGTTCCAAGATCTCCCTAACAAAATGGAGTAGCAGAAATGAAGAATAATATGGTAGGTGTGGAATTATTGTGTGGTAGGCATGAAATTATTTGAAACCAATAGATTAGATTGAAATTGTGATGGCACAATCCTAGCCATTAATTTATGAGGTATCATTAGTATAAATAGGGGTAGAGTCTTTGAGTTTGTATAAAGCCAAGTTAAGGTGA